AACCAAAGAAATCTACAAATATCTTCAGAAAATTTTTCAAGGTAACATTTGCCTTTTCCAGACTACAACATACCCACCCCCCTTCACCCATATATTATTGTCTCATCAAAAAGGTTAAGTTCTATTTGGAAGTCATTTCCTGAGTTGGCTGATTTGGGGAAAGACAAACTTCTATATAAAATAATAAAAAGTCTAAAAACAAAAAGCTAAAATGCAGAAACTAATTTTGCTCTTTCAGTGAACTTCATCCAAATATTAATACAATTAGTGGCATGTAGTTTCTTACAGATCATGTATACAATTATCAATGGCCAACAGAAGCAATATAAATATTGGACTGCAAAATATAGTTATTTATACATTTTCATGTGCCATTAAAACAAAACTAAAGGGCTGGGTATATAACTCAGTGGTAGACATGAGCTTAGCATGTGGCAAAGTCCTAGGTTCAATCCTGAACACTGGGGGTGGGGGGGGTAGGAACTAATAACCATGACTTAGAAAAAAAATTAATATTGAGGAAATCACAAATAAAACAACTGAAGGGTTAAGAAGACCGGAAATAATCAGATGAACTTTCAACTTGATTTTATTTTAAGTGAACTGCAAGAACGCTTACCTTTACATATTAAACACTGCTATAAGGATCACAAAGCATTTGCCACCTATTTCAAAAGAGGTTCTTTCTTTCATTTCCCAACTATATTATCCTGTATCTACCAATACCCATATCAACTTCACTATCAGTACTGTCAAATGGACACAATCCAAAGTTTACTGAAATGTTTTAGTATTAAATCTAAGTCTAGAATTCATTTCTCACAATGATGTTCTTTTGCCCGTACTTTCCATTTATTAAGGATATGAACCATCAAAATATAAGAGCCATACTATCTGAAGCTAACCAAAATCACTTCTGTTGCACTTTATACTTAAATTTAAAAGATTTTGTATTACGCTTACTGGCACAATTAGAAATACACTTTCAAATACCAAGACTTTGAACAGATATGCAAAAATAAGTACAGCATAATAGGAAATGTATTTTTTTAACAGATACTATCAAACTGCCCTTAAAATAGATGATCTAATTTATAATTCTACCAGCAATGCAAGAGGTCTTATTTCCCACCTCTTTGGGATTACTTAAGATCTGAAAATCTTACAGGGGAAAAACTGGCATCGTCATCAGTTTTAATAAAATATTCTCAATCTGCACTACACATGAATTACCTATTTTGTAATGAGTATACATATACTAATATTTTTCCAGCCTAATTACTCTTATACATCACTTTTTCTAATTAAAAAATAAAATGTTCAAAGGAAAGGTAATCTAACAATGCCCCTTCATCCCCCTTCCTCTGGCCCTTCCCAAGTATCCTTCACTAAGAAAGAACATATACTTCAAGGATTTACAGGAATTAAGCATGGCCTGCTTGACAGAGAAGATGCAAGCATTATTAAGAAAAAAAAAATTCATACAGGTTAATCAAAGCTTCTGAATGTTATAACTTAGTTTGTGAGTTTGCTATAATGTTTCTTCTAATCCATGTTGTTTTTCTGGAAGAATGTATTTTAAATTAAAACTCTAAAATTAACCTCACAAAAGTATGTCAAATAGATTGAATTAGAACAAGGATGGATGAGGTTACACATTTTAAATCTGATGCAGATTTTAAATCAGATATGTGGAGATAAATGTGAGAACACAGATTGGATTAAAAGCTGAGGTATTATCCACCCAAAGATGAGAGTCTAAGCTGAAAAAAAGGGATGTGCTGTTTAGAATTTAGATATGTGGTAAAGGAGCAAAAAGGCCTCAGCCTCTATCCAGTGAGGAGCCAAGAAAGCAGACATAACAACTTTTTTCTCCCCGAGTCCCCCAAGTTTCTAGAGATTGAACTCATGGACATTTTACCACTGAGCTATATCCCCAGTCCTTTTTAAAATTTTTATTTTGAGACAAGATCTTGCTAAATTGTTTAGGGACTTGCTAAGTTGTTGAGGCTGGTTGAACTTTCGATACTGCTGCCTGTTTCCTGCATCAGTGGAATCACAAGTGGATAACACTGTGAAGGGCCACAATAACTTTTTTAAAAATGAAAACAGCCAAGCAACATTTTTTTTAAGGATAGAATGAATGGTGGTAACAAAATTAAATGAGGCACCTGCAGGGAAAACTGAGCAAAGATCACTACACTATTCTATATGATACTAAGATGTTAGTTATATAATTTTAACTTAAATCAGATTAAAGGTGTGTGAAGGAAATGGTACAGTCTAGAGTTCACATCAGTTCAAAGAGTTTGTGGAAAAAAGATAATTAGATAACCTGCTTACATTCTGACACCTTCCACAGTATAAATAAAATTAATATAATATAAAGTCAGAACCAAGGTAAGAATAACTTGCTCCAGTTATATGAACAATGAAATTGCTATGGTTAAGTACTGAATTCACTTCAACCTTATTTACCAGCAAGGCAAAAAGATAAACAACACAGATCATATAATTTGAGATGCCTAATAAATTTTCAAGGGAAACTTTTTCTGGAAACTAAAAACAAAAGTTCTCATGTATGAGCCTGAAATTCAAAGACCAATGTCCTTGACAGGTATTACAATAAATGAAGAAATTTATTCTCATTTAGTGAATAAACTCTTATATAACTTTTAATATATGTCAAACATTGTTCTAAGTCTTTTACAAGATGGTAACTCATTTCATTTTCACATGTTTTTTTCTGTTAATAACACTGCAAAATCTGACAGAGTCCTGAGAGAGAGCTGCCGTTCCAGGTGGACTGCTAATTGAGGCTGAGCATTAGAAAAGATAACAGGATCAAATGGAAGCTTACCTCCAGAATAAGAGATATGTTTGTCACATAAAGGCAAAATGAAAGGAATCAAAAGAAGAAAGCTACATTTGGAAACAAGACCATTCAAGAAATAGAAACTTAAACCAAATTAAAAGGTTTCCTGACAACCTTGAGACCAGTGCTCTTCACATTTAAGACAGCTGGCATTCACCCTTGAACGAAATCCTTGATTGAAAGCTTTGAGAATTATCATATACCTGAATTACTCCTGACTAGCTCTTTTGGTGGGACATAACATATTCTCCATTCATGAACTTCCCCTTGATATATGGTAAACAAGGTTATCTTACTGGTACAATTCTCCCAGGGCATCTGAGCCTGAGAATTCCTTCCATAGACAGACTTTCTCTTTTTTGAGAAGGGAGAGGAAGAACAGGACAGCACGTTAGACAAAATAGTGTTTTCAAAGTTAGCGCTATGAGATGATTTCTTATTAAAAGACAATGAAACTAGAAACTTTTGGGAAACAAACCAAAAAAGTGGTTCAATGTCCTGACAAAGGAAAATAAAGGACACTAAAGTCACTGAAGAAGGACAGAACCAAAGACATATTTTTAATAGTAGTTCTCATCCTGCAGTCTTTAAGGATGACCTTTAAAGCTAGCTGCATTTTACATTTCTCTGAAGTTTGGGCACATGTATTTAAACTCTTATTACATGCCTGATAAATCTGATGTTAAAAATAAAATTGAATCCCAGATGAGATTAAGCACACCTATTTTAGTCTTTAAAACATAAGGTGCAAATTTAACAAAAGTCTAGTCTTTTTACAAACAAAGGAATTTGAGCCATCTAACCCAACACATTAAATAATGTATCTAAGGGCATAAGACTCCTTTGTGGCACAAAAACATTATCACTGAATATTCCACAAATTTTAGCCATCACCAAGTGCTTTTTTGTTTGTTGGTTGGTTTTTAACAACATTTTCAGCCTGGGAAAACAACTTCAACCAGGAATGTTTTAGGGAGGTGTCAACTTCAATTACAGGAAACATTAAACAGGCCTGAGACTGAAATTATAAGAATCACACTTTCAGTTTGAGTTAAGGTACTCTGGGGGCTGGAAACAGTAAAAGAAGTAAAAAGGGAGGCAAGACCAGTACATATTCTGTCAGGATAAAGTAAAAAAAATAGTAGGGTATAAAGAAAGCAAACAAGTAAACGTTTACCCACTGGGGTCTCAATTTATAATACATGATAAAAGTATTCAGAAAACTGCTTCTCATATTAAGAAAAATTAATTCATTAAATCGCTGCTATAAACATAAAAGATGAGTCGATATCCTATCACAATTAAATCACAAAACCTATTTAGATTTTTCACTGGTAAGTGTTTTACGTCACATTTCATCTTGGCTATTCAACTATTTTTAAAAAAAGGAAAAGAAAAAGAAAATTCTGTCCATCCCATGAAGAGACCAGACAGGACAAAGTTGGTCCACAGTGCAAACAGGTGGTCTGTGCTGCATGCCTCATCTTCTCCGCCACGTGACCCTATTCCTTCTAATCTCATTTCTGAAACATTATTTCCGGTGGCCCAGATGGCTCTACAAATGCCTGAAGGAGTCGCCCCAGAAGTATTAAGAACACTGCCACATCTGGCTTACAGTAGGATGGTAGAGACCAAAGGAGGGCAGGCAGGGTGGAAATTCGAGCCTGGAAAAGCGACGAGTCAGGAAGGTACAGGCTCTGCTCAACACACGACTCTTGAATGTCACTCCGTGGAGATATTCGTGTGGCATCACCCACGAAGGGCTGGGCGGGCGGCCAGGTGGTGCAGCCGCGAGCCAGCTCGGGCGCCAAGCACGCGGCAGCGGCCTCTCGGGCTGGGTGCAAGCCAGGCCAGCCACTCCGGACCCACTGCGTATCCACCCGCGCGACCCGCGCCGGGGGCGGGGAAGGGAAGTGGGAGCCGGGCATAGGGGCGCGGGAGGGGAAAGCGCGGGCGGGGCCGGGCCTAATCACATGGCGCAGACGACGCAGGGCCGACCGGCATCTCTTTTCTTTCTCTTTCTCGAACCTCTGCCCCCATCCCACCCGACCGCAGCACCCACCCCCGCCCCCGGGCCCGAGCCCAGAGCGGGAGGAGGCCTCCTCAGTCTCACGGAGACACTCACTTTTCGCCCGCGGCCACCAGCTCTTTGCCCTCGCTGTTGCCGAACGAGTCCGTCTCCCCGGGGCTGTCCTTGGGGCCAGCCGCCGGCGGGGCTGCGGGCGGCGACGCCCCGGACTGCGGCTGCGTGCCCCCCTTGCCCAGCTCCTGCAAGATCTCCGAAGGTGAGCTGGACAGGCGCCCCGCGAAGGGCCCCAAGGGCCGGCCGCCCCCACCCCACCACGGGTGGAGTCGCGCAGCGGTCGCCGGGCCTGCGGCCGGCCAGCGCCCGCCCCGGGGGTGCCGGCACAGGGTGGCTAGGGGCTGAGCCCGCCTCAGAGCCGCGCTGACAGCGGCCGGCGGTCGGAGGAGTAGATCCCGCAGCATCGCCGAGCCTCGCAGTCGCATCATGCCTCTGGGTCCGTAAGCGGCCGCTCGACAAGGATGCTCCGGGCGTGGGCGGCCGCTTTCCTACTGGAACGCGGTCTACCGCTGGGCAGCAAGAAAACAGACGAAGAAAGGTCAGCGACGTGGGTGTGGTTTCGGCTACGGCTCCTGCAGCTGGAGACGCTGTAGCTGCTTAGGAGGATACCGGTGGACGCTTCTCCTCACACCGCCAAGGGCTCCGCACTGAGGCTGACGCGCAGGGGAGGGCCGTAGACATTCCGCGCTCACCCACCCGAGGGCGGGAGGACACCGGAGGCCCGCCCCCCTCTCCTGCTCCGATTGGCTCAAACCTTCGACCTCTCTTCTCATTGGTGATAGACGCAGTCAAATTTCTCCCGGCGCCCGGTGCGCAGAAAGTCGGGCGGAGACTGACGGGGGGCGGAGCCTAACGAAGGGGGCGACAGGGAGAGGAATCAAACTGACGTGTGAGGCTGGGGATCCAGGCCCAGGGTAGCTCCTTACCTCATGGGTTCCGGGCCTACTGGCCTGCTGACTGGGGGCTTAGAAGGTCTCATCATTTATGAAGTGGGTGGAATCCTTCTGGAATCTGGGGCCTCTAACTGTTGTGAAGACCAATGGGCACAAGCCCCTGCAGCCAAGCGCTTGGCGGTCAGCAGGTTGGCAGAGGCTGGCCTCTGGCGGGGCCATGGAAGTTCGACTGGTACTGCTGACCCCTACCTATACAATCCCAGCGTGAAGTGACTCCCAGGGCCCCTGTCCTGTGAAGGCCCCAGACCAGCTTCATCCCTCTCCTAAATTTGCTTGAAACTTTCCATGGTTGGCTGCTACCCAGATGTGAAGTGTTTTGGAAAAAATGAGCAAAATCCTTTCAGCTATGCGGCTTAAGCCATTTAGAAAGTTAGGGTGTATGGGTAGGGTAAAAAGAGGGAGAAATTAGGGATGAAGTTGTGGCTCAGTGGTAGAGCACTTGCCTAGCATGTGTGAGGCACTGTGGTCGATCCTCAGCAGCACATATAAATAAACGAATAAAATAAAGGTCCATTAACATCTAAAAATAAATAAATAAAGAGGGAGAAGTCCCAGAATACAACGCTTTTCCTATTAAAAAATATTTTTTTAAAAAAGTGCATATCACTACTTCAAAAATATTTTAAACAGCAATGATTCCATTAACACTAATTTACTTGAAAGTAAAATTGTAGATATTTCACTATTTTAAAATTTGCTTTGTTTTAAAATACAAGCATCCAAATGCTGGTTCTAAACCTTTCAATCCAGTATCACTTTATCCACTTATTCTTCGGGAACTGTGGCAAAGGAGCCAAGGATCATATAATCTCTGAGTTATTCCCTAAACCTACATATACGCTTCACTCCAGAATTAAAAAGAAACTGTTTTTAGACAATTGCCTGAAACGATTAGATTTAAATGCATAGATCCCCAACGATTAATAAGAATAATTTTTATATATTTGGAAAGGGTCATATGTCAGGTACATTAACTGATCACCAGATTTAGTAATCTATTGAATCTTGGAATTTTGCACTAGATAGTTACTAGGGAACCTGTGTGTACCTACACATTATGTGACCTTTGGCATATGGTAGCCTTGCCATGTTTAAGTTTTTTTTCTAGTGTTCTTTAACATGGACTGAGTGATCATGTGTAAAATATTTAATCACATTTTTTAAAAGAAGTGCAGTTAAGATACTTGCAAATTATTTTGGATGGCTTTTATTACAGCTTAATGTTACTGGTCATAAAAACATTGATTAATCAAAGTAATGATATATTCAATAAAAGGAACATCAACATCAATGTCTTGCAAACCTTAATGTTCCCCAATCTCTTAGATACTACTAGTTACCCATTTTGACCACCTTTTTCTCAAGCACATCCAATATTGACAAATCCAGTTGTTTTTCTCCAATTTTTCTTAATTTGTCTAGTTTTTCTATGAAATTTTTCCTGATGTTTAATGGTTTAAAAGCTTTATAGTATACTTACCAAATATAGAAAGGTTACCTTGTAATAGAAGATTGTTTTCTAGAATTTCTGCTTTTAAGGATTAGCTAGTGAGAAAGGACAGATGTTACTTCTAACATTTAGAAGAACTAAGAATTTGCAAAAGCCAATGAAAAGGTTACAGAGAGCAAATTGAAACTATTATAAATAGAATAAATATGACTCAATACTTTGATTTGATTCTTTTCTTCATCTTTATAACTTTATATTTAATGATATTTTAGTCATAACATTTGAATCATGAGCTGGAGTTTCAATTATGTTTAATTTATTTGTATCATTATATAAAACATTCTATCATTACCAAAGCATTTTATCCACAAAAATAAGCCCCCAACTTGTTTACAGTTGAAGAAGATTAACATGTGGCTCTGTTGTCAGGGTTGCTCTTAGACTTCCTCTTTGTTACTGCTAAGTGCAGCTACCCTGCAAAGAATGGGTTATGGCCCCATAGCCATTGTGATGTAATCAACCATCAAAAGGAAAAATTACAATTTATGAACTTTGTTTCTATTCCAACTTGAGAATGGTTCCTGAGTTCTATGTTCCTGAGCTTCTATATTCTTTTGAAGATTACACAAGGAAGGCCAGTGTTTCAAGAACATAATATAACCTCTATATGCACTTCAGATATTTCCCTTCACAAAAAAAAACTGAAAAATTATTATTTGTTGACCTAGAGATAAACAGAAAGTAATTTTCCTTTGACTAATGGCTTAAAAGAATTGCCTAAGCCTTTTTTGTTTTTGTTTGAAATTCTTCTATGTGAAGAGTAGATTCAGGAAACCTCTGAATAAGCTTCTGCTACTACACTTCCCTTTCTTCTGTTGGGTTCCTGCTTTAACTGACCAACTTGGACCTTACTGATAAACCCAGCCAAACATAATATATTTTTCCATTACTGAATTTAGAACCATATTCAGGAAAATATTATAAATCCCTCCTCTATAAAACGTGGATAAGATTGAAACTTATAAGCCTTATAAAGTTGTGAGGATCAAATGAGCAGCAGCAATGGCATTCTGGGTTAGTTATTAAAATTATCATCATGTGAGTGAATAAGTTTTGTTATGCAATGTGATCAGTTGTCATGACCATTATTGAGAAGCTAAAATGGGAATTGTTTTAAACCATCTCGTCACAAAATATCACTTAAGGAGTAGCTAGTACCCTGAAATCAGATCATTTATTTAGTCATTTTTAGAAAACCAACCAATAATTTCCAAAGTTTCTTAAAATAGGGATTACTGTAAAGATAACTTAAGGAAAGCTGGGCTCAGTGCCCAAGGTACCAGTTATTTACAAATAACTAAAAAAGAAGTACTCTAGGGGTGGGGTTGTGGCTCAGTGGTAGAGTGCTCGCCTAGAGCACATGAGGCCCTGGGTTTGATCCTCAGCACCACATAAAAATAAAATAAAGATATTGTGTCCACATACAACTAAAAAAAATATATTTTAAAAAGTCTTAAAATTATATATAAAAAATAAGTACCGGGGCTGGGGTTGTGGCTCAAGTGGTAGCGCGCTGGCCTGGAATGCGTGCGGCCCGGGTTCGATCCTCAGCACCACATACAAACAAAGATGTTATGTCCTCCGAAAACTAAAATAAATATTAAAACATTCTCTCTCTCTCTCAAAAAAAAAATAGACTTTATTATTAAAAAAAAAATAAGTACTATAAAGAAGGAAGCATCACTGGGAGGTGATAATAAAAAGCAGGTTTTGATTATACATTTCATATACAAATATCCTAACAGAGCAATTAAATTCAAAAATCCGATTTTTAGCCTTTTCATTAGATTTCTCAAATCTGTTATCTATGTTAATGAAATTAAACATGTTTATTGTGATATCACACAAAAATGACAAGATTTTCATCAAATTTGAGCTGCATATTTGGATGGTCTGGCTTAAAATACTATATGAAATTCTCCTTAGGGTACCCTGATGGCTGGAATGGGTAGAGTGGAAATAAGTTACTTTTCTTCATGCAGAGCATTTCAGTTAGGTGAATTTGTAAGTTGATGCTGTTTTTTCTTAGACTTAACCATAATGATGGGACCTCTAGATATTTATTGATTTTTTAAAGTGATTTTAATTCTTTTTGTTCTGTGGACTCATAGAAAGGTCAACTAGTCAACTTAAGCCAACCACTACCGTGCACACCTCTAGTCCCAACTATTCTGGAGGCTGAGGCAGGAGGATTGCAAGCTCAAGGCCACTTTGTCAACCTAGCAAGACCCTGTTGCAAAATAAAACATAAGGAAAGGACAGGGGATATAGCTCAGTGGTATATCACCCTTATGTCCTATTCTCAGCACTGCGAAAGAAAATAAAAATCAACAAAGCTGCATCCCAGATATAAGAAGTTTTATTTGTATATTAACAAATTCTTTAAACTTTGATTTCATAAAAAGTCCAAAAATTAGACAAATTGATACTTGCTTGGCAGGAAATCAACCTCTGAAGTAGATTGTATTATTGTTCCCAAATATTTTTGTCCCTCCCACTGGCAGGAGTTTACCTTCACACCTTATTGAATAGCAGGCTTGACCTTGATTTGTTCAATGAAATGTGGAAGTAGTGGAGCATGGCTGAACAGAAACTGTGAGTCATCACTTGGCTCTGTCATCTTTTCTCCTTTGGGACAAGAATGGTGTGTCTCACAGAGCAGATGATACTTTACCTCGGACCCAGAATGATGGGTCACAACTGAAGATAACTATGATTGACAAATATAAGGTAGAGAGATAACCTTGGTTTAAGTCATTTAGATTTGAGAGTTATTGCCATAGCGTGATTTAGCTTATATTGACTGATTTATTATCTAATTTGAATGAAAAAGATGAGGCAACCAGGAGACCAATATGGATTATGAAGCATATATGAGAATGCTTAAAGATAAGTGGTAGATTTACAGAGCAATTGAAACTAGAACCATTGAATAAGACTGCCTGTCAGAATAGCGTTCTCGTTCAGAGACAAAACTAGTGTCCAAAAAAGAGATATTTGATTGATATCTCAATATGCCATATGTATTTAGGCATTTTATGTGGAGAAAATTAACATGGTCTGAAATATGAGTCCCAGTCTACAGCAATACCACCTTCAGTGCACCTGATCTCGTCTGAAATATGAGCCCCATATCAATTATGTTATGGTCAATTTTAGGTTATGAAATCTAATGTTGGTTCAACCTCTGAAACTTATCACATTTTCTAAGCC